AAGGAGTAGGGGAGTGGGTGAGCTGATACCTTGTCTGCCTATCAGAGCAAACGTCCTGTTATGTACATATGTTTGTAAAGCTCTTTAGTCCCCTTCAAGATGAAAGGCTCTGTATAAATATAAGCTTTCGATTTTAGTACATGTTTGTAATACATGTGGTACAGTCCTAAATATGTATTTAGCTGATAGGCACTGTTCTTGTCTATCGTACAAATATTGACTTTAAAAGTATAAATATGTATTTAACCATCAGACCAGAAAAACACTGAAGCAGTTACTTCTCAGGTAGAGATATTAATATTGTATAAACCTATATATATACATATGTTTACATTCTACCACATCAGTGCAGAGCATTTCTTTAAAAAAAAAAAGAAGAAATGATAGCCCCCAACACACTAAGACAGTTCCCAATATTCTTCTCCCTTTGAGGTGAGTCCTGATCTTTAATTTTCATATGTTTAAATCTCTCTAACATTATAAAATAGGACCTGTTGTATGACTAAAAGTTAGAGTCAGTTCTTGTAAAATACAAAAAATCCATTAGGCTGGTGGGATTCTTTTTTAATTACGGAAATGTTCAAATGTGCACTAGAGATAATGACAGAAGCTCCCATGTACCTGCTACCCAATAAAGAGGTACTTGGTAGTCCTATCTCAATTACTTTTTTATTTTATAAAATGTTGAAGTTATCAATGCAGTACAAACATACTAAAGAAAATTTGGAGAATGGGAAAAAAAAACACAGAATCTCATCATTCTAAGATAGCTATTATCTAATTTTGCTATGTTCTTTATTTCTGTTTTTTCCTCCTGACATGCTTTTAGTTAGAGTATTGTAATATTTACCATGCATTTACTGTGTACCAGGTACTATTCTAAGGTTTACCATGTATTTGATCCTTACCAACTTAATAGAGTAGGTTATTATTACCCCATTTTACTGATGAGGAAACTGAGGTACACAGAGATTAGTAACTTACCTAAGGTTATGTGGCTAGAAAACTAACTGAATCTCTATTCTGTCAGAGTCAGATTCTATTAGATTTATAGTCTCCAAATCTGGCTTCAGAGTCTGTGCCCTTAACCATTATTTTGTTATTACAGTATACATGCAGTTTCATTTTGCCACTTCTTCACATTTACTTTGTGGGTATTTTAAAATGCTATTTGTAGTCTTCATAGCCATTATCTTACAAGGTCTCCAGAACACTAATAATGACCTCAGTAGCCAATTTAGTTCCCTTCAAAAATGTTTTTAACGTAATATTTATTTTTTTAATTTTGTCTTCAAATATTTTGATTTGCAGAAAAGTTACAAGGATAGTACAGAGTTGCCACACCCTTCACCCAACATCTCCTAATGTTAACATTTTATATAACCATAGTATAATTATAAAAACTAGGAAATTAACATTGGTATGATACTATTAAATGAAATACACTTTGCTCTGGATTTCATCAGATTTTTCTACCAATGTCCTTGCTCTGTTCCAGGATCCAGCCCAGAAACCATATGGTGCATTTAGGTGTCAGTGACATTTATGCGTGTATTATAATTCATGTTTATCTTTTATAGCGTTTCAGCTAAGTGCAGTAGCACTAGTCTGGATCACACTTCCTTAATTTCTCCAGAAAAGGAATGTATGCAAACCTTATTTTAAAAAAATAAATAATTCATAGTAGCTATAAGAGCAAATTAATTTCTCTGTGCCTTGGTTTTCTCATGGCAATAGCAACAGCTGCTTTTCAATTAATATCAATAGCTATTGTTAGAGGACTTTTATAAGCCAGTCTCTGTACAAATCTGATGTGGTTGGTGTTTGTCACAACAATCCCTCTAGAAGGATACTGTTATCATCATTTTATAATTGAAAACATTGTGACTATACGAGGTTAAGTGACTGGTCTAAGGTTATATAGTTGTGTAAAGCTGGGATTTGAACCAAGACAGGCCGACACTCCCAGCTTAAACTTTTAACTACTGCCAGTATTTGTCAACATGTAATACATGTTCAATTAATGGTTGCTATTCTTGATACTAAAAAAATAAATACCGGTAGGTGATTAATGTTTAGGGCTATTACTCCATGATCCCTAGAGATAAGTCATGGACAATATTCTAAGCCCTTGATGTTGACTGTTTTCCAAGTATCATTTTAAAAATGAGGCCCTGGCTGGCATAGCTCAGTGGATTGAGCGCAGGCTGTGAACCAAAGTGTCGCAGGTTTGATTCCCAGTCAGGGTACATGCCTGGGTTGCAGGCCATGACCCCCAGCAACTGCACATTGAGGTTTCTCTCTCTCTCTATCTCCCTCCCTTCCCTCTCTAAAAATAAATAAATAAAATCTTTAAAAAAAAATGAAATGACTATGGAATGAGCAAATATTTATCGCTCCCATACTATGTGTAGGGAGCCTGCTAGGCACTGGAGGAGATGATGTAATGGTTCAACCTGGCAAACTAAAAGCAGTCCTAGGCAGTATATGATTAATTATCAAATATTCTTTACACAAAGGTCTTAGTAGGCGATCAGAGAAGAAAGGGGTTACTTTAGGCTAGGGGAAGCTTTACTGAGGAAATAGAATTTGAATGAACCTTTTTCAAATGGGTAGATTTAGATGCCCGTTCCATTTGAGAGGAGAGAAAGGGGCAAAACTTTGTATGTTATAGTTACTATAACAGATTGCTGCTTCTAACAGTTTGTACATCAAAGCCATAGGTATTATTAAGTTGATATATGGGGACACTGAAGTGCAGTAAAGTTATTTTCACAAATCACACAGTTAATAAGTGAGAGGGCCTGGATGTGGATGCAAGTTTGACCTCAAAGCCCATGTCCACCATTACATAGCCTATCATCTGATTCGAGTTAAAATCTAAATTTTAATGTAAATTGAGCAATAGATGCTTTCTTAGATGTTTGTTTGTTCATTATGCTTACTCGAAACTTAATCTCTTCTCATAAGGAATCTTGCTATCCTAAGACTGGGCGAGCATGCTCCATTCTGTAATGGTACATTTTTAAAGGGGGAGGGGGTGGTCGATGAGGAATACACTTTGGAAAGAACATTGATAAAGGCTCGTGTGTTCTTGGTGCGGCTGTGTTGACACCTAATTAGAAGTCAATATTGCAAACATAATGACTTGGCCAATTGCTGAACTGACTGCCCAAGTGACACAGTTAGAGTCCCCAGGTAATAACAGAAGATAAGAGTATTATTTGCCTGCCCAGTGCCACATAGACACAATGTTTGCATTAGCATGCAAATGCTGAAGTAAATTCTTCAGGGCTTGCATCTAAGCTGCTTCTGGCCTAGGTGGCTAAAGTTAATACATCATAAAATTTGGTGTAAAACACTATCTTCCTAACTACAAATGTGTTTAGAGGAAATAGCTTTTCCTTCCTGAAAAACAAAGGAGATGTCAGGTTAGAGGGCCGTGTGAGAAGTCAGGTGAAATGTTTCTCCTCACACAGGTGTTATATAATATTAACCAGCTTCTTAAAATCATGACTAAAATTATCCTGATATTTGCTTGCTTTTTTTTGGATGATCTGTTTCTCCTTCCTTTCTCTGTCTTTAATGAGCAGATAGAGTAATACCTGATCTCAGAAGATGATTGGATTTTTTTCTGTGTATTACATCCATTTTGATTTGTATTTTGCCAATGGTATAATATATTAAATAGCTTATATTTATCTGTGGGTACTTCATATATATATTTCTTAATGCTGAGAATCACAAATAGCTGTGTGAAAAGCTTCAACCAGCCTGATTACAGTGGATGTGCAATTGGATTGAGGAATGTGTACTCAGAGCTTATGATCACTGGCCCGGTTGAGTCTGGGTGATGCATGTGGCTTTCCAGGGATGCTGCTATTTACATCTGTTAATGGCCCTTCTTGATGGCCGGCTCCCCAATGAGGTGATATGCAGCAGCCTGGGGATGAGGGACCAAGGCTGCAGATGTGGCTGGGCTCCATTAGGCAGGACCAGGAACGATCATCTGGTGGGCTTTGTGTTTGGGGGCGAGTACTGGGGGTGGGAAGGGAGAGAAGACAGAAAGAAACGGGGTGGGGGTGGAGAATGGAAACATTACTTATTCAGGTATAGGGAAACAGACAGGCAGACATGAAAAACTGCAGCTGTAACTGGAGTGTGAGTGAACAGAAAAAATAGAACTAGTGAATAAACAAGTAGTAGGATTGACTAGTTCTCATATAGAAGGAGATTAAAAGGAGAGGGCTGTGAGGGTTTGGGAAGAGACATGTCACCTCTGCCTTTTAACTCAATATCATTTATTTGTGTGGCTGGTCAGATGCTGCTGAACAGAAAGCAGAGACTTACATATGTCACAGTGCAACAAGAGATTAGTTCCTTGCATCCTTTGGTTTTCTGGTTCTGGGAGAAAGTGACAAGAGATACTCACAAGAGTGCGATGTTGAGCTCTAGTAAATTCTTGCAGAAATGTGAGATACCTGAAGCAAGCCAGTAAAGAATATTGCTGTTATTCCTATCAATGCTAGAGGACACTAAAAGGGTGCAGAATCACAAAAGTTACACAGTCCATGAGAGGCAATTCTCTCCTGCTCTCCTCTCGCATGTTGAAGGTTTCTTGGAAAGAATCTCAAAAAATGAACTACTTAGTAGACAGGGTGATTAGTCCACGATTCTGGATTTAAATCCCAGTTCCATAGCATTCTTCCACAGGTATTCTGAGTACGTTTAGGCTTTTTTTTTTTTTTTTTCACCTTCTTTGAGCAAGCCCAAAGATGGCGTTGAGGTAACTGAAATGCACAGTAAACCAGCTGTTCTCAACACAATCCAAAGAAGTGTGTTAGAATGTTTGTTCTAGTTACCCACAGGGAGCTGGCTCCTGAGCAGTGCAAGTGCATATCTTTACCTGAGGGCAGTGTCTGATACCTTTAAGGAACCTGCAGGAAAAAAAATCTGCATGTAAGAAGCTTGTATTTATTTGTTTGTTTCTACTTTTGCAGATTGGCATGGTAGCTTGGAAGATGACCCTTAAAAGTCCTGAATATCCAGAAGGTCGAGATATCATTGTTATTGGCAATGACATCACATACCGAATTGGGTCCTTTGGGCCCCAGGAGGATTTGCTGTTTCTCAGAGCTTCTGAGCTTGCCAGGGCAGAGGGGATCCCACGCATCTATGTAGCAGCCAACAGTGGAGCAAGAATTGGACTGGCAGAGGAAATTCGTCATATGTTTCATGTGGCCTGGGTAGATCCTGAGGATCCTTACAAGGTACAGATTAGGAAAACATAATACTTCAAGACACTGTATTGATATGCATATGTATGTATGTACATGTGTAGAGAAGTGGGGAGAGGTAGAGGTTTAAGTTCAAAAGTCAGTATTTTTGGCGAACCATGTTGGAAACAAATTGTCTCTCATTATGTTCACCTGATTTTTCCTCCACCTCTGAAAATAGACGCTGATTTTTCTGGTTGAACATTAGGTGAAATAGTAGGTATGCATTTAGCATGAGACATGCTAAGCCAAAAATACATATCTTTAAACTATTTCACTGTGGCTTCTGGGACTTACAGTCAGTCAGCAGCAAAATCCCTTATCTCCTTAGCTTCCTCTCTGACTGTACTCCAGCCCTCTTATTTTGCTTGAAGTCTGCCTATCCTTTAAAGACACTGCCCTCTCAAGAAGTGACTGATTTCTCTTCTTGTATCACTGAGCCTGGAGGGGGAAGAGTGTTTTCCTTGTGCCTCACTGCTACTTCCACACCCTTTTCCCCCCGTCTTCTCTCTGAAAACCTCCATCTTTGAATCCCACGTCATCACAGTGTACCGTATTAGCACTGCTCCTTAGTGTAGTGTTCCTCAGCCTTTAGTCACTCCCTCTTTCTTTTCATCTTTTAGTTGCCAGCACATTGTTATCTCTGCAGTACCACTGGTCCGGTTGTAATTCTTTGTGATTACTATGTCTACATAGATGATCCATCCCATAATCTTACTTTTTCTCCTCTAATGGTCCCATCCTCCATCCCAGCTCAGCCTCTCATTCTGCAGAATGTCAAGTTCAAGTATCCCTTTCTTTGCCACTCCTCCATCCGGTCTTTTCAGCTCACTCTCTTCAGTACCCCGACTCCAGCAGTCCTTTGAACACACCAGGATCTGCAACTCTTGATCTTACTACTTTCCTGCTCTGATTCACTCCCTCCTTACATCTTCATTTTATTACTGTCCAGCTTAAATTCCAAGATTAATCATTTTATCACTTTATAGTTACCGCCTTTCCTATACCCTCAACTTTTTTGCTTCTCTCTTCATTCTGCTTACTCTGTGCCTTTATAAAAACCTTGTTTTTAAATCCAGCTCTCTCCATGTGCTCCCATACCTGAACCTGTGGCTGAACATTGATAGAGAAAAACACAAAGTGCTATTGACTGGCCTTACTTTAAATTCAAGCTTACCAACCTTTTGAATGACACTCTTGCATCTTCTTCCCTCCCCTCAAACCTCTAACACAGTCTTCACCCATCCTCACTCTGCACTGATGACCTTGTTGTCTAATTTACTGAGAAAACAGAAGCAATTAGAAGATGGCTTCCCTGAGCTCCCACATACCTGCATCTGTGCCCTTACTCAACACCGTCTCTCCTGTACTTTGGGTGAAGGGTCCCTGCTCCTATCTAAGGCCAGTCTCTTCTCTTGTTCACTGATCCTTTCCCTTCTTGCCAACTTAAAGATGTAGATCAGTAACCCGCCCCCCGCTTCCTTGTACCATCATTTTCCCCCTCTCTACTGGATCTGTCCCTTTAGCATACAAATACTTACCTGTTCAGTTACTATCCCACCCTATTTTGTCCTTCCCTTTACAGCAAAACTTTTTAAAAGAGTTGTCTTTTCTGTCTATCTCTAGATACTCTTCTCCCATTTCCCTGGAACACACTTCATTTAAGCTTGCACCTTCACCATTCCAATGCAGGTGCTTTTGTCCGAGTCACCACTGATTCCACATTGTTAAATTCGTTGTGAATCTCAGTCTTCAGCTTAGTTATTTGGTTTCTTAGCATCATTTGATGCAGTTGGTCACTCTTTCATTCTTGAAACACTTTCTTCTCTTGGCCTCCAGAACACCAGAGTCTTCCTTTTACCTTCCTACCTGTACTTTCTGTTTTCTTTGCTGCCTTTCCCATCTTTAAATATAAGAGTGTTTCAGGGAATGATAGAAATATTCTGTATTTTGATTGTGGTGGTGACTATACAAGTATACACATTTGTCAGAACTCATCAAACTGCAGCACTTAAAACTGACTAATTGTATTGCATGTAAATTATATACTTCAGTAAAATTCATTTTAAAAGTGCATGGCAATTGTTGGTGACCACTAATAGGTACTGGGTTTTTGCAGGGGGGGTGTGATGGGAATGTCCTGGAGTTACTCAGTGGTGATTGTTGCATAACAAACTACTAATTGCACACTTTAAAATAGCTAATTTTATGTTATATGAACTTTATCCCAATTTTTTCTTTCTTTTTTAAAAATTTTAATTGTTGTTCAAGTTTATCCCAATTTTTTAAATTACAAAAAAAACAAGTAAATAAAATGGAGACAGATGTGAGGACCACAGAGGTTGTGGCAGGGTCAAGAAGTCCTAGGCTCTCCGGTCTCAACCCACTGGGGCCCTGGGCCCTCTCACCTGGCGTGTTGGCAGGATAGCCTGCATACAAGATGGGGCAGAAGGAAAAAGGGTGTTTCAGGGTACCGTCCCCGGAACTCTTCTCTTTAATGTGTTTGCCTTCCCTTGGTGATCTCATCCAGTCTTAAAGCTTTAAATGCCATCTATAAACTGATAAGCTTCCAAATTTATGCCCTATACTTGATCTTCAGGTTCATATATCCATATTCAACATCTCTACCTACATGTGTGCCTAAAAATACCTTCTAATCTTCTATGAATTGGTTCTTCCCACAGCCTCAATAAATGATACCTCTGTTCTTTCATTTAAGTAAAAGGCCTTGGGGTTTTCCTTGACTTCTCTCTTTTTCTCACATGACACATTTATTCTGTTAGTAAATCATGTTTGCATCCTGGCCTTCAAACTATATCCAGAATCCACCCACTTCTAACCACTTCCAATGGTAGTAAAATCACTCATCTCTTACCTGCATTATTGCAGTTGTTTCTTAATTGACCTTCCTGTTTCTGGCCTTGGCTCGACCCCTACCTCGTCTACTCTCAAGAGAAAGTGGAATGATCCAATTAAAATATAAATCAGATCATGGTTCAGAACTTCCTTCTGATGGAAACAGTTTAGTGTCTTCCCAACTCACACAAGTAAAAGCCAGAGCCGTGTAGTTACCGACAAGGCCCTACATAGATTGACCTTCCAATACCACCCTGCCCTCATTCCTTGCTGCAGCTCACCTCTTCCCATGCTCTGGCTCTATTTTGAATGTGCTAGGCACACTCATGCCTCAGCACTTTTGCATTTGTGATTCCTACTGCCTAGAGTTCTCCCCCCTCATCCCCCAATATCTTCATGTGCTCCTCAGTTCTTCAGGTCTTTGCTCAAATGACACTTTCAATGAAGCCTTTCTTGGGGATTCTCTATTTTATTTTTTTCTTAAATGTTATTCCCATTAACACTCTGTTTTAATTATTTTGTATATGTTCTCTCTCACTAGAAGATAAATTCCATACAACCAGAAATGATCTGTTTTGTTTGTCCCTGTTTTTCCAGTGCCTAGAACAGTACCTTGCACATAATAGGTACTCAGTAGATATGTGACTGACATACTAATGACACTCAGTGCCACAGGTGTTCTTGTCATAAGTCATGCGAAATCAATGGCAGATTCATGTCCTTTCCATATTGTGCTCACTGTGTCTGCCTAAATGCAGCTTCTAATTAATTGAGTTAAATGGTGGGCATAATTTCTCAGAATATTTAAAATGTTTTTTCTGTTTACATATTTTTTGGCTGAGTGACTAATTCACTTAAGTTAAACACTTATATAACTCTACTTTGTATGTGAGTGTGTATTTGTATGTATAAAAATAAATCAATTCTGAAATGTCAGTATAATTTTTTAAAATGTAAATAGGAATTATGAGTTTTTTATTTAAAAAAAGCATAAGGCAGGAGTTTAGTGGTCACTGATTCTTAGCATTGCATTGACTTCTGATTTTAATGTTGAATATCCTAGTATTGTGATCCTTTTAATTATTCTATACCCATATATATTTTTATGATACTGTGGACTTGAGAAAATGAAACATAGTAATTCACTGAATTCTTTAATTTTGTGTTGATATCTTTAATATATCTCACTAAAAATCAGAAAATGACCCTTTAACCCTGGTGAAAATGAAATAAATGGAATAGACTTGGCAGTGCAGCTGTAGGACATCTTGTTTCAAGGACAGGCAGTCAGTGACTGGAGAGATAGCCACTTCCATCCTTCAGAGGAGAACTGTCTATGCTACATTCTGTTAGATAGCAACTCCAAAAGCGATGTGGCAATTTAAAGCTAGCTTTGGAACAAGCTGCATTATGCATGCTTTGCTGTATCTTCTGGTTATGTGACAATGGCAAATAATGAGTTAAAAACTATTTGTGCTTCACAGGGATTCAAATATTTATACCTGACCCCTCAAGATTATAAGAGAGTCAGTGCTCTCAACTCTGTCTATTGTGAACACGTGGAGGATGAAGGAGAATCCAGGTAGGTATATATGTATCAGAATAATTTGGCTGTGGTTTACAGGAAGGAGAATATGATTATTTTTTTCTTCACCGTCTTGCTGATCATGACCTTGAAGAGTAAGATTGCTTGTTACTGATCTAAAGGCCTTAGTTTTGTATCTGACCTCTACCACTTATTAGCTGAAAGACCTTAATTATATTTATAGTATTTATTTATTTTCTAAAGGTCAGAACAATAAAACAGCTATAATTAAAAATAAAGCTCAGCTGCAATCCTACTGAGAAACATATTTATTTTTTTAATTTTATTTTTAAATTACAGTTGGCATTCAGTATTATTTTGTATTAACTTCAGGTATACAACATAGTAGTTAGACAGTCATATATTTTACCAGGTGATTCTCCCAATATTTCAAGTACCCACCTGGCATTCCCTGTGATTTACATCCCTGTGATTATTTTGTGACTACCAGTTTATAGTTCTTAATTTCTTCACCTTTTTCACCCAGTCCCCCAAGCCCCATTTTCTCTGCCAACCATCAGTCTGATCTCTGTTTCTGTGTCTGCTTCTCTTTTGTTTGTTCATTTATTTTGCCAAGAGACACAATTATTAATGTATATTATATTCTTGGAGTCTTTTCTATATATGTACTTTTTTCCCTTATAATTAGGTCATAATAGGAAGACTTTTGTTAATTTGTTCTCTTCACTAAAAACTATTTTGGGGGAGTATATTCTTACAATATAATTTGAGAATATGATTTTTTATGGTTATAGTAGTATTTCATCATAATGAATATATTATATTTGAATGTTGAGACTATTCCAGATTTTACTGTTACATCCCTGGGCTCAGCATGCTGTTATATAAACTTTTAGGACTGTCTCTGTTCCCTTTGGGTTAATTTCTAAAAGTGGAATTCTGGCCCATTTTAAAGATTTTTTTTGGTGATTTCAAAGTGCCCTCTCAAGATCTGCACTCCACCCAGCAGTTTATAATACTCTTTGTTTCCTCTTTTTAATTTTTTCTACCCTTGCCAACATCAATTATTGTCAATGAATAAAATAGGATAAAAACAATTGTTATTTTAACTGGTGTTTGTGATTACCAATGAAATCAAACATTTCTATAATCTATGTGCAAGTGTTTTCCAAAATGTTAGTCAATTGCTCCAGTATCATTTATTGAATAATTCATACTTTCCTCACTTTTATAGTAATCTTAATTACTAGGCTTTGTATTCTGTGTTTTGTTCTGTTGTTCTTAGGCTAATGCCACACTATTTAAACTATTCTACTAGGGCAGATTTCATCATGTTCTTAGTTTTTCCCTAAGTTTTATTAGCTGTTTTTGTCTTTTTATATATAGGCTCATGTTTTTTTGGTTGTTTTTTTTTTTCTTTTTTTCTTTTTCTTTTTTTTTTTAATTTTATTTTAATCATTGTTCAAATACAGTTTTCTCCTTTTTACTCCCAGTCCAGCCCCACCCACCCCTCCCTAGGCTCATTTTTTTTTAATTCACAAAACTTTTCACAATAATTTTGATTCAAATTGAATTTGGTTTTTAAATTAATTTAGAAAGATCTGACATCTTCATTATATTAACTCTTCCCAACAAAAAATATGGTATTTCTTTATTAAAGTGTATTTTTTAAAGTGTTGTAGTTTTCTTCATATAGTTTGTGCCAGAGGTTACCAATCATTTCTTGGTTCACAGTACCCTTTACTGCCTCAGCAATTTTATCGTAGCACCTTTAGACAAAAAGCTATACCTAACATTTCTGTTTATTAGGTAGTTACACCCAAACAACTTCTTAAGTATCTTCATAAGTATTTATGCCCTAACGGCTTACTAATCATTTAAAAATGTAATATACACAATTGAAAAAATTTTAAATTCCATTCTTAAGTAATTACTGTTACTTACTAATGGGATATTTCCATCTGTATAACATCTCAAAAACCTTGAAATCAGCCACCCACATTTCTTGTCCCACATTGAATTTGTGCAGAACTTTTTTTCTTTTTCACAGAACTGTGAAAACGTAGGTTTGTGAAGATAGGACACTGTCAGAAGGAATGTAGCACTATCTAATATTAACTCCTGAACTAACTAAAGCAAGTGGTTCACATGGAGTTTAACAGAGATCATAGTATTTCTGTCAAAAATTTAAAATACCTTCGGGCCCCTGGTGATTCAGTGTGGCACCGCAGGATGCCTTGGTGCACAGTGCAGCTTCGGTAGGATTGTGCCAGGTTTTGCATGCTCGTTCCTAAATGTTTTGCATTTTTCCTTGCTACTTTAAATGGATTTCTCTTTATTACTGGTATCTTAGAAAGTTACTGAGTGTGTATATTGCTTTTGTTAGAGCAAGTTTTTCTTTTTTGAGCTTTAGTTTCCTCATCTATAAGGTGAAGATCAAGCAAACTAATGTATGTGAAGTCCTGGCTGTTGTCATCGTTACCTGTAATAATGGACATAGTATTACCTATCACACTGGTTTGTTGCGAGAATCAAGAACGATATTTGTGAATGTGTTTTGTTAATTTATTACATTATATAAAGGTTTTCATAATAAATAACATTAAACTTGGTACCACTTAAAGAATGGCAGCCTCAATGATAGAAAACTCAGATCATAGCACAGAATGTGGAAAACATTTACTCTTTTTCATGTAATACAATGAAAGAAGATGGCATTTAACAGATCATCGATGCCTGTGAAGTAATATGCAGTCCTTAGGAGGGAAAAGATCTGCTTTGCAGGGAAGGCTGATTGGGCCCATGAGAGTTTGTGACTATGTGGCATGTGGGCCTTATAAAAAGAACACATTAATTTCTCCCTTCCCCTATCAACTTAATATGGCTCATTAATTATCTCTTTAAGGGAGCTAAGCTTTACCTGTAATATAACTTTAGAATCTAGATACAGAGCCAAAGGAAGAATTGGAAAAAATTTTAGTGGAGGCTAAAAATAGAAAGGCAAGAGAAACTGGGAAGCAGAGATGCAAAGCCACAGACCAATAGCAAGGGCAAAGAAAGGGAATTGATGGAGGGCTCAAAGTGAAGAAGGGACCAAAGAAATATGGGGGCAAAAAAAAAAAGTAGTTTAAGAGCCACTATGGGATATTTATTATTTCAATTTATAAAACTATGCCCTCTGCCAAGCCTTCTGGGTACACATGGAACAATAAATAATATATGCCCATCTCTACTTCTAACTTTGTATTTTTCCTTTCTTTTATTAGTTGCATTCCCCATCTCCCATTTCCCATTATCAGCTATCACTCCTAATCCCCTGCCAAGAAGACAGATGAGTGGCTCCCACTGGATCCACAGGATGCTTTCTGGACAACTTGGCCAGCATTTCACTTCTACACACATTCCACCTGCCCCTCCAGAGGCCTATAGCCAGGAACCCTCGTGCATACACTTGATATTTACAGAGGAGCAGGGATGGGAGTGCACTGTTTTGACCTTCCCTTTCATCTCTGTCTGAGAAAGAGAAAGGATTTTTAACTTTAGAAATCAGGCTTGGCATTCTTACTACCCCTCTGGATTTTTTTATTCCTATGTAAAATTTATCTACAATCGATGATTTAATGGCTGTTTCTTATTATAGAGAGATATACAGGTCTATCTGGATGATATCTAGCCATGTAATATGAAAAATAGAGAAACTTGTTGAAGAAGATACAAGAACCATTGCACATAGGACAGTGACACCTCAGTCCCCTTCAAAGTAGGCACCTCGAGGCCTCACACATTCTCCCAGTCGCCATCAGCTGCCCCATTGTATTTTCCTAAATCTCATCAACAGTCTGAAATCTCTTCCTTTTCAAAGGTGATTTTAGTTTTAGGAAAAGCCAGAAATTGCAGGGCACCAAATCTGGGCTGTAGGGGGTGCTGAGTCACCTGGGTGATTTGATGTTTCACCAAAGACTCTGCACAAGACGTGATACATGAGCAGGTACACTGTTGTGATAAAGCTGCCAATCACCAGTTGCCTATAGCTGCGGCCTTCTGAATCATCCGAATAGTTTCCATGAAGGAATGTTCAAGCTTAACACAAAATTCGATGCAGATTCATTGCTTTACTTGCTTAGTCATTTTGAATGCAATGGCCACACAATACACATGCTCACTCAATGGCATCTACCTCCCCCACTGACTAGTGCAGTAAAGTTATTGTTATTCACACATGCACAGTCCAGCCCACTCTCCTTTGGCTGCCAGGTTACATTGAAATTGTGCAAACCATTTTCATTATATTAACAATAGCTGGATTTGCTCTGGACAGACCTCATATATTGACCCCGCCTTTAAGAAACCTGTTCTAGAAAGCAGGAGAGGGCATCTACAATCTGAGTATCTTCTACGTGTCAAGCCCTCTCCTTGTTGCTTTAATTTAGCTCTCATGTCAACCCTTAGCCGTGGATACTGTTACCCCACTTTATAGGAGTTACTGTTATCCCCTAAATCACACTGCTACATGTGTCAGAGCAGGGATGTCACCCTGTCTACTTAATTCCAGATGTGCTCTTACTTTTACATGATATTGCCTCCAGACAAAGTAGACACCAAGCTAAGAAGGAAAGATACATGAATAAAGAATATAGAACCCTGGTGTTATACTTGAATATAAGTTACCAGTATGCTTTTTGTATGCTTTTAACAGCCTTTTAATGATGGTTATTCTTTTCAGAGATTGTTCTTACTGTATTTAACCTTTATAATTCGGCATGTCTGTATCCAATAGGTACAAGATAACCGATATTATTGGGAAGGAAGAGGGACTTGGAGCAGAGAACCTTCGAGGTTCTGGAATGATTGCTGGGGAAACCTCGTTGGCCTATGATGAGATCATCACCATTAGCCTGGTAAATCTTGTCTGCATTGACTGTGTAGCTAGGATTTCTTTTTGCTCCATCACTGCTATTCCATCCAAAATGAGAGCATTTTTTAAAAATTGCATAGCTACAATTTGATTTTAATTATGCGTGATAATGGGAAGATAGGATCGTGTAAATAATTGAATTTCCCAGATAAATCTAGTACCTCCTTTTAGCCTTTAGTTTAATTTATTTCTCCAAATATTCTACCAAAGTTTTAACAACTTGAATTTCTTTTCCTCTTACTGCTTTCTTTGTTTATACATCCCCTATAGATGCCAAGCATCTGTGAAATGGGCAAAAATGTAAGGGAAGGAAAGGGGCTGTGAACTTTCAAGTGTCTTAATACTTGAATCATTCAATGAGTTCTGTACCTTCTCTTCTTTAATCAGGAAATTATTATTGTTTTGTAATGTTATTAATCAAGCAGACTTCATAAAAGCAGTATTTTTCCCCCTGTTAATGTGGGTTTTACATATTGCCTTAGTTTTTACAGCTTGGGAGGGGACATAAATATGTGATGTGTAGAATTTTTTTTTAAGGTTACGTGCCGAGCCATTGGAATTGGTGCTTACCTTGTCCGGCTGGGACAGAGAACCATCCAGGTTGAAAATTCTCACTTAATTCTGACAGGAGCCGGGGCCCTCAACAAAGTAAGTTTCTAGGGTTTGGGAGAAGTATGTGAACCTGTTTGCAGGTCATTGCAAAGTCTTGATTCAGGATCCTGACAGGGAGGAAGCCATTCAGTCCATGCCTCCCTCGATCTATCTCTTCACCTTTCCTTCCATCTTCCCTACCCATTGCCTGGCTTGCCTGTCCATTCATTCATTTGGACAAATATTTTGAATATCTACTATGTGTTGGGCACTGTTTCAAGTACTGTGGATAGGTTAATGTACAAACCACCTAAAACTGCTCCAGAGAGTTTACACTGTAGTGTGTCTTTCTAGAAGAAAGAAAATTAATTGAATGCTTCTATTCTGCCCTTCCTCCTTTTTTCTCATCTATGAGTAAGGGACATGAGATCTATTTCCAGACATAGAGCTGTCTCTGAAACATCCTCTGAATGTGCTGAGGATAATCAAGTTTTAATGTTTTGAGAAATTTGTGAGTGCACCTCTAAAAAGAGCAGGTAACATGGTCCCTGGTACATAGAGGAAGTGCTTGGTAAGTCCTGAATGGGAAGATGGGTAGATGGATGGATTGCAGGGGAAGTATGACATAGAGGCTTCTCTTCCCTTCAAAAGAAATGCTTATGTCTTTTCTGTCCAAGCTCCTTGGGGCTTTTCCAAAGGGGTTAGAAAGGTGTGGTGAGGTTATTTCTTGTAAGAGTGAAAACTATCTAAGAATAGCTAAAGATACAAAGGACAATGTAGTTCTGACTTCTTTGCAGGCATAGAAAAATTATTTTCTGTCTAGAGCTCAGGAATATGTAATAGTCTGGGGCCAGCTGGGTGACCTTGTACAACTCATATAACCTCTCAGTTCCTTGGCTTTCTTTATCTGCCAAAGGGGGATAATTTACACCTTTAAATGATACTGTGGAGATCAGATGAGAAAACATAAGTAAAAGTACATAGTACTTGACACAAAGTGCTGGATCTCATTACAATTTCAGCTCCCTTTTCCTCTCTCTTACATGGTTTGGTGATTGAGCTGGTGGAGTTACATTCATGCTAAATTGTCTTGGATATTGTGTTTACTAGACATGCACAAATTTTTTATCAAGACTTGACCTTCAGGTGGAAGGATAGGAATGAAGTGTCCTATCCTATCACTCCCATTTAGAAAATGTTGATACTTCCATTGGTCCAATTAGCTTCTGGGGATGTCAGAAATGAAAATGGTTTCATGTGATCAGCATGTTCTCTGCATTCATGTGTCCTTCTCTGGGCTTGCCTTTCTCACCAGAGAAATGATGAACTTGGATGTCCTGCTCTCTTTTTTGAGTAGCCTAGAAGTAAAGATTGTGAACTGCCACCACTGAAGGAGATTATCGCAGTGGGAGAAACTGCTGTGTCCTAATTTTTTTCAAGTTGCTCTTTTCGATACCTTCCTCGGATAAGATATCGACAAATGTTGAAGAGAACTGTCGGTATCATTATCGGCGAGGATGGAATTTAAAGAAGGCACCTGTGTTTCCATAATGTTCTCATACCTGAACAAAGAGCACATTTTTGAAATGTATCATGTTACACTGAGTTTCTTATTTTCTCCCCGATACTGTGTTATACACAAAGAATATTACAAAAAGCAAAGGTTTTGTTGTTGCTTTTTTGGGGTGTTGCTGCTGGTTTGGGGTTTTTTGGGTTGTGTGTGTGTGTGTGTGTGTGTGTGTGTGTGTGTGCGCGCGCCTAGAAACTTGCTAGTTGAATTGCATTTATGCTATTAAAAAAGCTTTAAGGATTTTTTTCCCCTAAAATCTGGTTAAATTGTTCCAATCAAATTCATTATATTTGCCATCTTCCTAGCCTGCAGGGCTGCTTGTTAAAGGAGAGGTCCAGTTGCACAGGAAAAGACAAGTAACTTACCAACAGTGCTAGTTTCCAGAAGGACATGATCATTTGTAGCTGAAGGGAATGATCAGTTATAGAGGCTACCTAATCCTGCTTCTCCTGCCTCACTATTTTCATGTCATTGCCTCTTAAGTATAGAGTTGTATTGCTGGAAGACACCCGATTACATGCAAATTCATTAAGAATGTCCTATCTGCCCCTTTGCCTATGAGGTATGAAAAAGGAAACTGTACAGGAGCTTCATGTTCGGATTTTGTCCTCTGACTCCTTGTGCAGGTTCTGTCTTTGTGTATACTGGTGACTTTTCACATTGTTTACCTTTCTTTCTGCAAGAGTTGCTGCTTCACATCCTCTGGGTGTGTGCAGTTCACTTAAGTGCATATCTCTTCCTGTGTGAGTGCTGGTCTCTCATTCTCTTTGTGTCTGTACCTTGCTTCTAGATCCCTCTCTTTCTCTGTCTGTGTGCCTCCCTGAGTATCCATGTGTGAGAAATTCTTTGTGTATGTCTGAAACACTGTAGAGTGGGAATGTAGGTGGTATATGCAAGCTTTAACATTGCAAACATTTGACCCCCACCTTTTTGAGTCTTCATCCTTTATGTTAAACATTGGGGTGAAGAATAGAAGGGAGGGGGTGTGCAGAGGTTGTAGGGAAAAAAATCTGTGTGTGCAAGTGCCGATCCCGTTGACCCCTTTGAAAATTGAAATAATGATAATGCGCGTCTCCTGACTGCATCAAAGTATCAGCACATCAAAAGCCAGGAGGCATGAAATGCAAATGATAAAGTGAAAGCAGATGGATTGTGCATGATCGCCTGATGCCCAATGAATTTTAAAAGGTGCCGGTTTGCAAATGGGGTGGGGGGAGGATTGGAGGTGGGGGGACTGAAATAAACACGTTATCCCTGCAATTTTTTTTTGTTCTTGACGCTCACTCCTGACAATATTTTTTCACACTTGAGTGAATACCCACTCCATCTCTCTCTCCCGTTTCCCCCTCTCTCTTTTTCTCTCTCGTCACCCTCATCAGCTCCCCCCACCACCCCTTACACGTCTCAGGTCATGTCGCTGCAGCTCCAGTGGAAATAATAAGATATAAACCACGAGGTTGTTATTTGCATAGAAATAGCATGGAGCCCCAGGCAGCAAGGGAGAAGGACACAGGGATCATTTGTCTAAAATTTTAATGAAAACTTTTGCTGAGGCAGAGATTTTTAAAAAACTTTCTTTCTCCCTGCTTTTCTCTACCTATCCCCACCCTCCCCAAACTCCACCTCTGATTTGACTTAACATGGTTTAATTTGAAGAAAAAGGACTGATATTTCACATATTATATTGCTGTAATGCAGCAACATATAAATCGTTTATTCCTCTAATAGATATGAAGCTGGAGACACACACATTTCTGACTTAATACATTGCATGTATGCACCCAGCTTTTATGGCTACACTCCATCTCGGTGCACACGCGTTAGTGCCCTGTCATTAGCCAACCTGCTTTTAATTAGTTTAGACCTTCCTACCTTTTGCTTCCAAAGACTCCTCCTTTTTAAAGGATTCCTTTTTGTAGTCAACAGCAGTAGCTTGCATATAAAATGAAAATATTCCCGCGGCCTCCTGCTTCACTTTCAGTGGCTTTACTGTTCACATACATGTTTCATTCACGGGCACCATCCTTTGCCACTGTCCTTTGTTCTGAAACCAGAAAGTGCTTCCCACATTTGTGTTTTTATCCCTTTCCCCTTGTGATCTCAGTATTTGTGTATTCTCTCTACTTTTTTTTTTTTGCCTTGCTCTCTGTTGCCTGCAGTTATTTGTAAAATATTACCAAGTTGAGGAGAGAGACAGGATCTGGGTTTTTTTGAGTATTGCAGCAGCAGACTTGACATTTGCAGTAAAGGCTGTGAGCTGGTGACTAGGGGCAGTCTCAACGACTTTATTGGAAACTTATAATCAAGAACATCTGTCTGGCTCCTTGCTACTTTCTGGGTGGGCTAGTGGTGCCAGGGCCATTTTACAGGTGAAGGCTAAAACTGCAAGAGGTAAGGTGACTTGGTTCCATTGACAGAAACTAGATCAGCATCAGAACATGAACTTTCACGTCCCCAAGTTTCATTTAAAATGAGCTCAGTCCCTTGTGCTTAATGTCCATGAAGCTTGAGACAAGAAGGTAGTCTGGTCATTTTCCTTTTTGTCCAAATGTCATGAGAGTGATGACATAAATAAGAGAAGCATCTATGGCCTGCTATTCCATGTCACTCAAAGTAGTAGATCATAGGTTCCTAGCTCTACAAACTGCAGGCCGTGAGTGGCGGATTCCTTGAAATGCCTCACTGAGTGGTAAGGGCAGGTTTGATGGATGCGACAAACTACCCTACTTGAAGGAACTCATGCTGGCCTGGCAAAGGCAGTGACCTGTGTGCTTGGGGGACTGGTAAGATAGACCCTTAAAGGGCTGAGATGATTTATAGGGTTATAAACTCCAATCAAGGTGCCACTGGAAATTTGCGGTAATTTTCTGATTTACTTCCCCTCCCCAACTCCTCTCTGTTTCTATTTAATACATTTAACATAATTTCAGGTGGTAGATAAGCTTGAAGGACCTTGTGTTGTAAGGGACACTGATGTAGACTGGAGCCTTCTAGTTCTCAGTCTGTTGCCCCGGACTTGGTGAGAGCTCTCTCTGTACACAGAGAAAACAGAATTTGCAGTTTATGGCTTGTCCTCTGGGCAGTAACTATCTATGGAAGTAAGGCAGGTGCCAGTGGCTGTGATAGATGTGTTATAGATTCATTCAGGATGTGTGATTTGTGACTTCCTTGTGATAAGCATTTTAAAGCTTCTGCTTTGGAAGGAGGGGCAGGAATCCCATAATCTCCTCCCCTTAGCCAGAACAGGTCCCTGTTTCTACTGCATTTATGGGGGTGAGGTGGGGGGAAGAAAGTATATGATGGGTGTGGCTAGGACTCTGTGTTAGACTGATAGGGAGCTAATTCTGCCAAACTTGCTTTTAAGACTTGGTCTGAGTTCCTCTCTTGATTTCAGTTTCCAAAGATATATTTTAATGTATCTGCACAATATGAAATGTGAAAATGTTGCTGACTCTTGGGTATAGTATCAGAGATCCTCACATATGCT